TTAAATTCGTCAATATAAATGTAATAATCAGAAAATTTTAAACGTGCATATAAATTGAAGTAAATTCAACAAAAAAGTTGTCATATATACAGCAACAATTGCAGACAACTACGGCTAAAGATTATAGGTCATGGCATCTTCCAATCCCAAAATATCTAATTTAAAATGACAAAAATTGCAACTAAGTTAAATATACTTGTCCAGGAAAGATAAAAAATACTTAATTCCAGTTGACAAGAAAAAAGAAATAAATAAAGTGAAGAGGCATAGGATAAGAATAAAAAGTTATATAATACAAGCATAGTCAACAGACCTTTAACTCAATCGTCCTTGCAGTCCTATATAAACTTTATAGCAATTGAGAAAATAAGATGTAAATAACAAGGGTTTGAAAGAGTGTGCTAACTGAAAGGAATGAGCAATATAAAGTAAACTACAACTTCAATTGCATGGCATCGCACTTTTAGAATTTGGGAACAGCTGAATGGGTACAGAACCTATCATCATGAAAATATGAAAGTACACGACAACACAAACATTACCAGCCAGCAAGTGTAGTTTAGGAAAAAAACAAAGTATTAAACACTTGCCCTCAACATTTTTTTCCTATTAGACTAGAGATCGGAAACTGAAATTAATCGACATACGATGGAAGAAAAGATGAAATTACCAAACACAACTAGGTGTTTTTTGGAAAAAGGGAATGTTACAAACGAAAGTAAAAGATGTACTTCGTATGACAAAGTAATTGGAGAAAATTAAATGAGCAAAGATTAAGAACGGAGGGGTGAAAAATAAGAAACTAGAAAAGTTGCAAATGTAACTGGGGTAAATTCAACCAACAAATGGAAAAGAACTTGAAATTGTAGGCGAAAAAGAAAATGCCAACGAAAATAACTGGCAAAACATAAACGGGTAACTGACCTAAGCAAGGACATGCACTAAAATGGTAACCATTTCAGCTGAAATCAGTTCCAGGCTCCGGGATGACAGAGCCTCTTGACACCCTGCTTTGAGACAATAGGAGTTCTATATAAGATTTTATTATTATATATAATTTATTTAGCCCAAATTTTGAAAGGAAATAGCAGGAAGAAATGAGTTGCGGCTGAAATCTTCAAGTGAGTAACAGAGAAAGATATAAATTGATAAAATTTGGCATACACCAGCGAAGATATTTAGACACATACAGCATTACATTCAATCAGTATCACTCATATATTGGGGACAGCTCAAATTTCCTTCACACAGATGCAAGAGATATTAATATTAGCAGAAAAAAAAATCAAAACGGCATACATAAAAGATACAGACCTTTCGGCTGAGTAGCAGGGGTTTTGTTACTGGCTGGCCCAATTCTCATGGGTCTAGTTGAGCAAAGAACCCCTTGCATCTCAGTCATAGCCCTCACTTGTTCACTCTCATCCGCAAACCTAACAAAGCCATAACCCTTGGTCCGACCAGTTAGCCTATCAATAACAACTTTTGCACCCTTCACGGAATTGAAACGAGCCCTAAATGTCTCTTGGAGCAAGTAATCAGTAACATCTGCAGCCAAGTCGCCAACAAATATTGTGTAATCAGGAGAATCATCATGGCGCCTTTCACCAGCACTAAAACTTGCCCAATTCAACCTGAAACTCTGCCCCCCATTTGGCATAATAGCCCCATTATATGTTTGAAGGATTCTCTCGGCTGAAGCACGACTGTTAAATTCAATGAACCCGTAACCTTCTGATTGACTGGTTTGCTTATTTCGAATCACTTTGACAGATGTAACCTACGATCCAATAAAATCAGACTTCAATATCACAAAAAAGACTCATTCATCTAAATTAATACAAAATTCAAAGAAAAAGGTACAGCCAAAATAAAACCGTAAAAAAATCAAAGTAAGCCATAAACAAATATTACAAATAAATCCGAATTTGAACCTCCAGTGCCACAAAACTCAGACTATTATATATCATTCTGCATGCAAATTCAATAAAAAGAAACTTATACTCAAAAGCACACGAAAACATTCCCTTTTAATGCTAAAAAGAAAGGGAAACTAACACAAATCAAGAAACAAAATCGACCTAAATGTCACAAAAACAACCCTCCTGCGCGTAAATCATTACAAAATTCAAACTAGAAGGCATGAAACCTTTAAAAACGTAAAAGTAATCAAAATTAACATCGAGAGAGAAAAAAACCTAATATTATGTGGAAAAAAAAACAAGCAAAAGCAACACAAACTACAACCAAGTTAAGAAAACAAAAGGGTTATTATACCTCTCCGGTCGGTGCAAAGCAGGTGTAGAGATAGTTTTCATCCATCCAGTACTGCAAATCGCCGATCCACAGGGTCCGGACCTCGTCAACGCTGGCTGGCTGCTGCTGCGACGAAGGCTGGGCGGAGGGGGCCCACATGGGCGGAGGCGCCTGGGGCTGCGGCGGCATCATGACGTAGGGTTGCTGCTGCGGCGGCGGCTGCTGCTGATACTGTTGCGGTGGCTGCTGCCCCATGGTGGGAGGAGCCATGCCGAGTCCTGGCTGCTGCATCATCTCGGCACCAACAAATCAGAAATTCTAGAGGGAGAAAAAGAAAGAGCGAGAGTGAATGGGGCAAACTGAGAGAGAGAGAATAAGTGAATGGGTCTCGATCCCCTTTAAAGCAAACTCAAACCCTAACCCTAAAAAGAGAGGGTGCGGTATCGAACCAATCAGTGATTTTGAATGGCGTGATGGGCACTACGTTTTGTTTTTCTCAATAATAAATAATAATTTAAAACATTTGATTGATTTTATCGGTTCCTGATTAGGTGGGAGACTTTGATTGGCTGGCTTGTGTAACCCTGAACCAAAGCGTATCTCCAGATTTTTTTTTTTCGGTCAGTAATTATTTGTTTTGATTTACTATATTTACTGGAATAAATATTTATCTGTACATATATAATTAATATTTGTAATCTGTAACAGATAACTGTTTTTTAACGTAAAATTAAAAGTTAATTTATGATAAATGATTTAATTGTGATGTAATTTGATTATTTATTTTAAGAATTACGAATTAATTTTTTGGAAAAATATAAATAGGCTATGAAAGATGGCTTCTTAAGTTGAAAAAGAAAAAGATCAAGTATCTTGAGAAAAGATTAAATATATAAATCTTTATTCATCTACGAATATTACTTTCTTAAGCATATATCTTTTTCAATCTATTTTTTATATTTATTTTTAAATTTAACTGATATTTTTTAAAAGAGATATAATTTCTCTTTGTGTGTGTATGATGCCGGGGTATGTATATATAATATTATAATAAATTTGAAATATTAATTATTATATCCAAATTGCAAATATAAATTAAAACATACAAAATTTTTGTTCATAAAAATAGGTTATAATATAACAAGTCATAATTCACATGACAAAACTGGGATGAAAATATATTAATAATACAATTTAATAGATTTCTAACTATGCAAATAAGTGTTATTGTGTTGTGATCATATATAAGTTGTACTAAATATAGTGATTTTATAAATAAAAATATTTTAAATTATAGGTGAAATATACGATATGTTAAAATTATTTGATGTCAAAATTATTGTCTTTAACTCAATATATTTTATTGTCTTTAACTCAAAATTATTTCGTAATTAAAGTATAAGTAAAAAATATTTGATGTCAAAATTAACTTAATATTTAAAATAAGCTTGTTAATATATATATATATATATATATATATATATATATTTATTTATTTATTTATTTATTTATTAAGATTTTGGTCTTTTTTGGATGAGATGAAAAGTGGATGAGTGACAAAATAAAAGAAAAAGAAAAGTGATATCATTATAAAGTATCACCAGACAGTTAATTATGGATCAGGTAACACAAACATTTCTTCTTGAAATAAACATGACCACTTTTAACTTTTAAGGTTGTGCAGCTACAATAAAATAGTCGAATAGTCAATCAATAATAACTAAAATTTAATATTGACCAATTAAGGATAAAACATGACTGATGTCGAATGAGTTTCAATTAGGTGATTATCAATCTCAAACTTCATTCTGAAATCTATAAATACAAGTTTTAGATAGGTAAGTGACAACATTTAATGTGAATATACTGCTTGAATAGTTTAGTCTTTATCAATTTTAACATTAGATTATCTTATGTAGGTAAACTTCAAGTGTAAATGGGGAACAGTTAGGATGAATGGTGACATAAGGATAATTTTTTTTTATCTTTTCTTTTACTTTAACAAATTTTACACCATAGTTTAAATTTCATTTTCATATAACAAAATCAGTAATGTTACTCTGTTTGAGGTCATTTCTTAAACAAATATATTAATTTGTTACACATTTTTTAAATTGAAAACTTAATTAAGATAACTTAACGCGAAAAGTCTCCATTAAGATTATTGCATAAATATAAGAAACATCCCAAAATTTTAACCTAAAATATATTATAAATAGGATATAAATTTATATTTATAAATATGTTAAATATTAAATAAAAATATTTACTTATCTATAAACAATTTTTCAAAAATAAAAACGATGAAGAGAGAACCCAACTTACAATGGATTACAAATGAGCTTATAATCACTCTTTATTGTTAAATTTAATTTCTTAATGGAGTTATTAAATCCTTTCAAGATTAACAAAAACTATATATTTTTCAAGAGATTTAACTTCAACTCGTTATTAAAGATGTTATCTCACTCCAATTGTCAAATATATAAAAAAAAGATTGTATTTTATTCTAATTAATTAAATGCAAAACCTATTTATATTGTTTGTTGCTAAAATTAATCTACGACCAAAGCCAGGCAAACAAAGAAGAGTAATGTGAGTGGTTAGTCAATCCCACGCCCTTTTTTCATGTGTTCCATTGTACTTTCATTATATTTTAAAAAAGTTTTTAAAAAATATCTAGATCTACAGTGAATATAGAATAGTAAAAAAGAAATCAGCAGAGAATCTAGACTGACTGTTGCTTCATTTTGGTCTTCAAATGGCTTCTTCTTTTATCTTTTATCTTCTTCTGTCACATTGAAAATCATCACACCTTTTCTTGGTTTCTCACTCCCAGTTAAATCTTTTGATCCCTTTACCCAGTTCTTTGTAACCAGAAATTACAATGGCTCAAACGGTTGAAGAAGGGTAGAAGCAGATGCCCGTTATCACGCGTTCATGTCTCACAGTTCCAGTTGTCACCACCATCGGCTGCTCCCTTGATGTAAAAACACCTTTCTTCCAACTCTCACTTTTAGGGTTTCCAATTTCTTTTCTGCTTATCAATTCGCGTCTAACTTGGGCTTTCCGTTGTAGAATTGTCGTATTTCACTTGTTTTCGTTTTGAAAATGAAATCAGAACCATTGTCTAATTTTAAGTGCTGAAAGTTGACTGATTTAGTTTCACTAGAGTGAATAGTGGGCATAAAAAGGAAAAGAATCTGAGCATTTGGGGAGACAATGGATTTGCATCTGAAGAGTCTGTTCAACAGATTTGAGGAGCAGTTTGGGTCTGGTCCTGGTCTTGGTCCTGGATCTGGGACTTGCATGATGAGAGTGGATGGCATTGCTCCAAATTTCATTAAATCTGTATACAAAGCTTCCGCGGCTTTGTATAGAACTGAACCGTGGAAGAGGCTACGACCGGGTCACTTCTTTGGCATCCGGGTTGGGAAAGATTCGGATTGGGCTGGCAAGAAGCAACCTTTTCCATGTGTTCAGTTCATTGGAGGGGATGGAGGGGATGTTGGATTCTACATGTTTAGGTCAGAGAATGATGCTAAGAAAATGTTAGGGTCTAGAGAGACCATTCACGTTCCAAATGTCGAGGTTCTGAGGGTGACATACGAAGTGGAGAATTTGATGTTCCCTTCCAATCGGAAGATGATCAAGTCTTTGTCATTGGAAGCATCGGGGTCAGATCGATTTCCTGTTATTGATGTTGCTCGATGCACGCCTTCTGGGGATCTTCGATTTAGAAATCCAACCATCGAAGAGCTTAGGTTTGTGTATGCATTCATGAAAGCCATTTCCCTGGTGCACTCTTTACTTCAAGTTGACAGGGAAAGTGGTCCAAAGTATTCCACAGTGGTGTCTTTTGAACCTTTTATAGAGACTGTTGATGTTCAATGGCCTCCAGATGTAGCCAAGGGGGGTTATGACCTTGTTGCTGTTACTATTTCCCACCCGCCGGGACAGGCATATGAAGAAAGATCTAGTAGTGCTAGTGCTGGCTCTACTCCCACCAAGTATGTTGAACCACCTATGGAAGACACTTTCAATGACACAAAAGCATACTCAGGTGCTGGCTTGAGACAGTGTGCAATGTGTGAGAAAGAAGTGCACGGAGAACAGTCACTTTGCTGTGGGCGGTGTAGAGCAGTTGTTTACTGCAGTTCAATTTGCCAGAAGCAGCATTGGAACGGCACGCATAAAAGTATGTGTGGACTTTACAAGGCCATGATGGAGAGGGAAGAAGAGCTGGCTATAATGATTTTCTTGTTCCCATGTTCTGCTGACCAGCCTTGTAAGTGGCTTGAATCATTAGGAATCCACCAGAAGGGTATGTGGAGAAGAAAATGCAGTTGCTATTCACATTGCCCTTTTGGTCTCCTTCCTGTGAAAGGTGGGCTGCAGGAACTATGGGGTGGAATTGACGAATTTGAATACCCTCATGATTCTCCGTTTAATAACCACTTCATCTCAAGTCCATTTCTTCTCTCTGGTTGGTCCGAGTACTACAACCTTCGCTCACTTCCATTGTCAAGTCCAATCGCCGACATTCTCTCGCATCCATTGACTGTGTATCACATACTAACTACTCTTAATATAAGTTCAAAGAACCTTATATTGAAAGGGAAAGAGGTGATTGTCCACTACCTTGGACCTGAAGGTGAGTTGGATTGGATGCCAGCATTTGCAGAAGTGGGACACTTGCTTAATGGACTGGGCAATGTACAAATAGTGATGGTGGGACCAGAAGTGCCTACAAATTTGTCAGGTACAACCTCAGGAATAGGTAGCAGAGTTAGAGTGAATCTTGTAAGGGGTGTTTATCAGGTAGAAGCCTCATACCTACCTTCTCCACATGTTGTCATTGCTCTAAATTCTAGATTAGATAGCTATTCTAGTTGGGGTGGAGCTATTGATTTAATCAAATCACTGGGGGTCCCTGCTTTCTTCACTGATCAATCTGAACTTTCATGTGTAAATGCTAAGCAAGTCCTTCGTAACGCTGGATTGCACATTACGCATCCAGTTACTCCAAATCCTTTCCGGTCCCCTGTGAAAAATCTCACTGCTTCTTTCAATCTTCCTTCATACAGCAATGGTTTTGTCTTTGGGGTGAATACTTGAATGCAGTCTTAGAAATTCAAAAAACAAGTGCCTATCTATTGTCATTGTCACGCATTCTAAGATTGCAGCCAGCTTCAAATTTTTTGTGCTGTCATGCAATTTGTTGACAGCACAACAAACTAGAAAATCCTTCTAAAATTTGTTGAATTATGTATATTGATTCTGTTTGGTATCTTGCGTCTCGAGTGGGCTGAGTTCTTTGGTTGTTTTCCTCTTATCACATTGAAGTCTGTATCAGTTGTTTTGGTATATTAATATGATTGTGCTCAACTCCTTGTGACCAAGTTGTTCTGGAAAGAAATAAAGCAATGTCGGAAGAGTTATCCAATGAAATTCATGTTTATATTGCATCAACTGTGTGTGTTTGCCGTTCTTAACTTTAGTTTTACCAATAAATATAAAACTAAGTACCCATTTTGGTTGTTACCAATGCAAATGGTCATTTGTAGTTGATTTGAAATTGTAGAGCATGTACCTTTTGTTGTAATAGAATTGGGATGCTTAGTAACTAACGGCACGTTGCCATGATTGGAGCTGTTTTTTGTTTATGGTATGGCTTTTTAGAGACCACAGAGATCTCAGAGCATCAAAAGAGTTGTTCTCATCTGCCTTAGAATTTGAATTCTTTAGAAAGCAATTAAAGAAAAATATAAATTTTAAGAAAATATTGATTTTCCATTGAATAATTAGATAGTGGATTTTAAGATGGGAATCAGATTTGAAATTTGATTTAAATTTACAAAGTTAATTTATAAAACGGGATTTATACCAACTTACTCTTTTCTAATATTATTGAACTTATTTCTTATTGAATTTAGTACGTAGATCACTTGCGTAATCACTCGATGGATCTATAATACTATTAACTCAATTAATTTAAAATTTAACTGAATTCTATAAAATTAGAATAAATGTGTACTTTATTTCTTTAAGTGGATGATATCTTTAGTTAAAGCAAAATTTCCAGCAAAGCCCACTAAAAACTAATTTATTTTCTCTGTTTATTATAGATTTAAGAATTTAATTTGTTTAAAAATGGAAAAGTAAGAAGTGTTCTTCCATTATACAGATTGAGGATTCAAAGTTCTATACGTTTAAGAAGTGAGGCGGATATAAGTGAATCACGTATTACAAGTTGTTGTATGGTTACAACTATATTAAATTGTTGTATGGCTCAGACTGAAATAAAAGATCCAAGAGTCTTGACAATTTCAATCAGTGAATGACCCATATATATTTTTTATTGTTAAGTTTAATTAATTAATATAAATATGCATTAGAATTCAATGAAACTATATCATTATATACACGTTGGATACTGTTAACTACAGTATAATTGAGAATGAAAACTCTAATCAATATACATAAGGATCGACTTAAAGTAATTGAATCACTTTATGAGTACTGCATAATCATTCTTTTACGTCTTGATTATGCTGGAAAGGTGCATGAAATCAAAACCTCTTTCATTTTTGCTCTCCCCTCCTTTTCTTTCATTTAGTATTATTTTTCAGGCTACACAAGATTTCACTCAATCCATATGAGTGAATATCTTTTTATATGATATTTTTTTCTTCAAGTGTGTTATATTATTGTTTTCACAATATTTTAAGTCGTTTAGCAAGACAAATTAATTGTTCTGATACTATTAATAAAATTTATTTTTAGAAACAATACATTAAAAAAGGATTTATATATATATA